CAAACTGCAAATACATTTCAGACACAATTTTAGAAATTTTATAAACGTTGATACACTTTTGATTTAATTTTATATAATGTTCATAATTGAAAATTATTATTCTAAGTATATAAAATGAAAATTGTTTTTAAAGACTTTCAATAGTAATTTTTTAACTCATAAATTTAGACCATGAGCACTTTAATAATCTAACACTTTAATCCATCAAAGTATCGGGTTTTTTTTTCGTTTTTTTCTTATATTCCTTTGTAATCCTCGATTACAAACATCTTACAAACATATAAACATACATAATTGAACTTTAAATATTATATATATATATACATATATATATATATATATATATATATATATATATATATATATATATATTGTCTGAGATCATTTGTCCTGAGATCAATTGTCCGTGAGATATTTTGTCTGAGATATTTTGTCTGAGATCATTTGTCCTGAGATCATTTGTCCTGTCACCATATATATATATATATATATATATATATATATATATATATATATATATATATAAATATATATATATATATATATATATATATATATATATATATATATATATATATATATATATATATATATATAAAGCAATGTATGTGTGTTTGTTTATTTGTCTTTTGTGCATTACTACACCTTTTATCTGATCGCCATGAAAATTTGGGAAGTTGTTGAGAATACTACAGGGACAGTTTCTTCAAAAAATAAAATAAATCTTTTCTTTTTATTTCACGCGATAAAACTGCCTGACCCTAATGCACCGGGCACCCCTGTCAGCACTATGGCACGTACGTTAGTTTGAAGGAGTTACCCTACAATATTGACAAAGTGGCACACGATATTCGATGATTAAACCGAGCCAGGGGTCGTAAGCGGCGAACTTACTGTAGTATAATCGGGGGCTCATGAGAGCGCCCCTCTCCGACCCCGACACTTAGGTGGTAAGTGATTAACGTACTCTCAAGGCTTTCACAAAGCACGCCACATGGTGTGCTGGGCGGTTGTGTAGGTTTCGGAAAACAAGGTCACGTGTCTAAGAATATAGGATTGGTAAAGCATTGGTGAGACCCTCCTAATGTATTCCGTCAGGCAAGGCGCGATTCTTATCTTCTCAACATACGGTATAAAAATATATAAGTCGTTTGCTGTTTAACACCGTTCATTTGAGTGCCATCAAACTTTGGGGAGTTGATGAGAATACTCCCAAGAAGGTTTCTGCGAAAAAAAGATATTTCTTATGCGATTTGGCGCCCCAGTCTTTCTTGAGAACTCTATCGCGCCTACGTTAGTTTCAAACAGTGCATAAGATGGGGGGGGGGGGGGGGATTCCCATAAAGATGCGCAACGGAAAAAAGCGGAAATTTTGAAAGCTCGAGTTTTGTAAGACTGTTAAAAAGCTAGCAAAAAAATGCAAATGTGCATAATCTATATCATCTACACAAACACCAAACTACCTACCTAACTACCCACCCACACATCTACCCACGCACCCACCTAACAATCTACCTACCACCAACACACACATACCCACCCTCATACCCACCCACATACCCACCCACCTACCAACCTATATATAAATAAATATATATATATATATATATATAAATAAATAAATAAATATATATATATATATATATATATATATATATATATATATATATATATATATATATATATATATATATATATATATATATATATATATATGAGGTAGGTTTTTAGGTAGGTAGGTAGGTGCGAATGCATGTTGGTGCGAGAGATATAACGAATGCAAGTTTGATGACGCGGATGAAAGAGAGTGAAGTTTTGCGATAGGAACAGGTTGTTATGGTATGCTAACTAGGGAGTTCGGACTAGGGAGAATGTGAGAGATACTCCGTGTAATGTCGATATCAAGGATAGTTTTATATTTATTTAAACGAGAATAGTAGTTGATAAATATTGAACAAGAAAATATTACGAATTGTGTCAAGCGATCATCGCCTGTATCGTAGTGTATCGAGGTGATATGAATGCACATGGTAGTGGTATTCTTTAAATGGTAGTAGATCGCGTCAGGTCAAACACGACCCTTTTACAACAGCCCTAACAATCATGTATAAATGTGTCATTTAGTCCATATAGGTCTTTGTGCTAAAATTTCTGTTTTCGCATTTTTCTGTATGAGCTTTTTTCTGCTTGCGCATCTTTCTGGTCACCAAGATGAGGTATTAGAGACGTTTACTAAACATAACCACGCGGTTCCCCCTGCGCCCCGGCAAGGTGTGATTTGGCGCTCTGGACTATTCCTTGAGCGCTTTTGTGCCTTCGTATTAAAAAGTGCGATAGATTATGGATGAGATATGGCGTTATAGTCGTTGACTAAACTGAATGCGCTATGGGGCATACGTTCGATTCAAGGAATGCGATGAGCTGTGTCTAGTCGTTCACTAAATTGAATCCAGGGCGTACGCCGGCGCCCCGACAGGGTGCTATTTGGCGTCCTAGTTTATCACTTGAGCACCATTGCAGGTTAGTTTTAAGGAGCCATGGAACGTACGCGGCGCCCCTGTGTTAGTGTAATAGTTTAATTTTATCAATTTTTGCCTTATTGTTTGTGTTTGTGTTTACGTTTATGATTACGTTTGTTTTTGTGTTTGCTTTTGCGTTAATTTTTGCGTTTATGTTTGTGTTTGTGCTTGCAATACGTTTGTTTTTGTATTTAGGTTTTGTTTGGTTTTGGTAAGAGTTAGGTTTAAGGTAATGTGTTATTTTCTCAAAAGTAAAAGTATTGTAAAAGTAACATATTTCCTTAACCCGTGCAATACCGGGTATGCTGCTTAAAAACACAAGTCACATTCCTTTACAGATAGATTTTTCAAAGAGGCAAGTACATGACCTGGCCGGGACGGCTAGTATAATAATAAAAATGATGATTTTACAAGCTTTTATTTTTAACTTACTTTATCTATCTCTCTGTCGTTATAGATCGAAATGAGCGAGTGAAATTTCGGGCATTTCTAACTAACAGATTAGTTTCAAAGTTTGTACGTGGATCAAGAAATGAATCTGACATTAAATTTGACTTAGACATGATTTTTAAGCTATTTTAATTACTTAAACTTTTAAAAATAGAATAGAATCTCGTAGAAAAAAAGAATTGCGCACTAAGTGAACGGCAAACAATATCTGTATAATAGAGCTGAATGCTAGTACTTTACAAATCCATATTCGTAAATTACTACTTCTTGTCAACCGATTCAAAATTTGACAGAAGGCAGAGAATTAGATATTTTACTTATATTTGAAATTTCATTTATCTATCAGAAACAGTACTCACGTTATAGGCTTTTTAAAGGGAGGTGTAAAATGTCGAGATTTGTGAAAATCTTGATTTCGAATTTTTGCACGATTACAATACTTCCTCTATACTTCGTATATGAGACAGAAAGAAAATTAAAGTACTGAACAAAATTCTTTTAAAAAGTTTTTATAACAAAATTTTACGTAACAATTCACTAAAAAGTAGAAAATAAATGATTTTCTTAGAATATATCATAATACACTACTATTGAAATAACTATAAAGAAAAACATGGGTCTCTTCCTAAATATTAGTAACGTATCCAATATAGCCTACATTTAAGTGACCTACGCTTTTCTATACACTCATTTTCTCCTTTACGTGCATTATTACATAAACCAGGGTTCTCAAAACTACGGCCCGCGATGTCCTCTCATCAGGCCCGCGGAGATCTTTTTGTCCACGGAAAAAACGTTTGTTGGTGATGGCTGAGGAACTTTGTCCAGAAAAATCAAAGAAATCCCTGGAAGAAACTGGCCCTCGAAGTGAAATTTGATAGTTAATGCGGCCCTCGGACTGAAAAGTTTGGAGACCCCTGACATAAACGTTTGTTACTAAAACGTTTTTTATGCATTTAATAGTACTTTAACATGTTTAATACAATAGAGTTGCATTAAATAAACCGGAAGTGATCTCCCCTAAACTTTCTCGAATATTCTTATATAAAATAACAGGGGATGGGAACTCGGGCTATAGACATGATTTTTAATCCATTTTAAATACTTAAAGTTTTAAAAATAGAATAAAATCTCGTAGACAAATTAATTGCACACCAAGTGAACGCGAATAAAAAAGCGCATAATAGTGCGCAATATTATTAGTACTTTTAAAATTTACATTAGTTTTTTGAGAAATCGGAAGTAGCGTAAATAAGTACTTCCGGTCAACGAAAAATTCTCAAAATTTGACAGAAGGTAGAGAATTAGATCTGTTACTTACATATCAAATTTCATTTATCTATCTGAAATAGTACTCAAGTTATAGGCTTTTGAAAAATTCAAAGTAGAAAAAGTACCACTTCCGGTTATCCGAAATCGCTCAAAAGTTGATACGGATCTACGATTTTGATAAAATACTTATATATGAAATTTCATCAACCTAGCTGTAACGGTACTCAAGTTATCGTGTTTACACACGGACACACACACACACAGACACACAGACATACGGACAGAATTGCAAAGCCCAGTTTTTCAGACTGGAATACGCATAAAACCTTTTAATTTTGATAAATCTGGATTGATAATTTTTGCCCGATTAAAATAAGTCCTCTATACTTCGGATGTGATGAAGGACTGAGGTGTAATACGGTGAAAATAGTTAAAATTTCAAGTGATTTTTGTGCACGATTACAATACTTTCTCTATACTTCGTATATACGAGAAAGTAAAAAGCATCAAATGAACATGAAACATGCACGTATAATAGTGCGGTAAATAGTACTTTATAAAGGAAATTGTAATTAGCACATAAATAATTAATTACGCATCCAATAAGTTAAATTTGATTTCAGATTGCATTGTCATCGTGTCTTGACCCTCATGCCAAGTTTGAAACGAATCGGCCTATTAGAAGTGATTTTTTGCGCACGATTTCAATACTAAACTTCCTCTATACTTCTACGAGAAAAAAATTACCCAAAATTATAGATCTTAAAATTTGCTTTTTATTGGTACCAAGCTTTTTACGATTCGTGCACTTTTTGTTATAGAAAGCATGAAGTGAAAAGCTACTACATTTTGGCCAGGCGGGCGAAAACCGAGTTTTTGGTTTTTATTACTTATTACATCGTGTATAATCATATTATCATCTCATTCTATAATTTGATATAAAATGTTCACACCTTTTTATCCCTTGTTAATATATACATAAACACAACTCATACTCCTTACCACCTGTGGTCGAGGCCACGCTGTGGAAAAAAACACGGTGGACAAAGAACCTATGGTTAAACCACGGTGGACAAAGAACCTATGGTTAAACCACGGTGGACAAAGAACCTTTGGTTAAACCACGGTGGACAAAGAACCTTTGGTTAAACCACTTATTGTCAAACACCCTCTGGTCAAATCATCAGTGGTCTAATCTCCACGTATTAGTTATTTCTATTCCCAATTTGTGCTGTAATTCATCAGGCTAGAATTGTCAGCGAACTCCATGACTCAGGCAGTTGATTATCTCAAACTTTGCCAGCCAGCCTCTAGTCATGACTTGTTAATGGGGATGGCAAGTCTTGGAACTTTCTACCAAGTAACACAAAAACCTGAATTGGCCGTACCGAGGCTCAAGTATGTTGTTGAACATTCAGGTAAATTGGCTGTTTTTTTTTTCCTAGCCTGTATAGAAGATTCAGGTAAAGCAACTGTTTTGTCTAGCATGTCTAGAAAATATGACATTTGTTGCTATTCCATTTAAAACACAACAACAGCATTTAAGTGGGTTTTTTTTCTAACAGAATCAATTAGATGGTACCAGAACTGGTTGCATGAAAGTTTCCAGTCACTTCTCTCACTGTACAGGGCATCGGGAGAAGATAAGGATGCAGATCTGGTGCAAGTCAAGCTGGGTCAATGGCTGAAACTACATCCAAAGAACAATGAAAAGATGGACTACAGTGTGCTTCAAATCAAACCCACATCTTTTCAGTTATTTCTGAGCAAGGCAGACATCTGGGGGTCGGTCTTTCAGAAAGCAATGAGTCTCCCAGCTCAGGTGAGATAGGAACTCTTTCTCTTCATGGCAACACTCAAAAATGAAAGTGAAGCAAAAGATTTGTGATGCGTATGGTTGCTTGATTGAACAATTAAAGACTCTCATATAATTAAAGGTTATATTGATTAAAATATATTTTTTAAAAAGGTAATTCTTTTAAAAGATTAACTTTAAATTCCTGGCCTTATCAGCTGTCGTATATATAGCAAACATAAATCTCAATGATTCATCTTAATATGTGAGAAGGATTAGCTAAGATGTAAATTATCAAACAATCAACTCCTTTGACTTTCCAGGTGACCAGTCCAAACAACGTTACGTACCTTTAGTTGTCAACTATGTTTGGTAACCACTTAAGCTTTACTCGTTCAGGAGGTGATGATATTTTCAACTAGATTTCTCCTTTGATATTTAAAACATTTACTTGTGAAAGAAGGAAGGCCCAAGTTTATCAAATGAGAAGTTGAACTAAAATGATCAGTTGGGACAGCATCTTGAATGACAGCACATTTTAATTCAAATGATCAGTTCGGACAGATAAGAGCAAACACCAAACTTGAACTATTGTGGGTCAGTTAAGTGGTACAAAGAAAATCTTGTATTCACTCAGGAGACTTGATGCGTGTATTTAATCCACATTTAGTCCAATTATATTCAAACTGAAATGGGCCTGTATACATTATGTTTTACTTTAGCGTGATGCTCTTTGAATATAATTAGTTATTCTGTATATTATTTATTTTTACAAGACTTATTTAACTGACTTCCTCGTCAGTCTGTCTGTCTAGATTGAAACGCTCGAGCGAAAATTCTGACACTTCTAACTGACAGATACGGTTCGTAATTGGTACGTGGGTCAAGACATGAAGACAATGCAATCTAAAATTAAATTTGACTTAATTGGATGCCTAATTATTTTTTTATGAATTAATTAAAATTTTGACCAAATTAGTAGGCATTTCTATCCAACCACACCACACGCGTCATCACTTTCAATAGCGCGTCATCGCGTTCAATAGGCGCGCAATGGTTTTTAGTCATGAAACTATTTTAAATAAAAACATGTAAAGTACAAATTTTTTTTCATAAAAATCGTTTTAATAACAAGCTTTTATGTACTAATGCACTAAAAAGTAGAAAATAAATTATAGACTACTATTTAAATAACTATAAAGAAAAGCGTGGGTCACTTTAGAATCTATTGGATACCTTTACTAATGTTTAGGAAGAGACCCTCGCTTTTTTAAAATAGTTATTTAAATAGTAGTCTATAATTTATTTTCTACTTTTTAGTGCATTAGTACATAAAAGCTTGTTATTAAAACGTTTTTTATGAAAAGCAAATTTTAATAGTTAATTTTTAAATGAAATAAAGAATGTTTTAATAATGCTGTGATCTTTATTGCACAATAATTATAGAATGTTGAAACATTTAAATGTTAGTTGTTTTATTTTTATGTTGTGAATGAGTGGTGAAGCGTATAAATTAAGGCTGTTGTAAAAAATGAATTTGAAACCATTTAGACGAGAGCAGAGGCGTAGCGAGGGGGGGGGGGGGGCGCAGACAGCACCGGGTGACACCATTTAGGGGGGTGACACCAAGGCAAAAAATAGCAAAATATATAGAGAAAAACTTGAGGGGGTGCAAATCGAAAGTTTGAGGGGGTTGCAAATCATAAGTTTGAGGGGACGGGGTGCAAATCGAAAGTTCGAGGGGGGGGGGTGCAAATCGAAAATTTGAAAGTTTGTCCCCAGGAAGGGTCGCTACGCCTCTAGGGGGTGACACCCGACCTCGCTACGCCACTGGACGAGAAAGAAAGAGAGAGAGAGAAAACCCACCAAATAAGTACGTAATAGCAAGTAGCAGTCTAATTTCTGTACTTCGACAGTATGTTATTCAGTAATGAGCTTTTTTATATTATTAGCAACCACGCCTGGCACCACCCGCTCTTCCACTAGCTATGTCTCTAAAATTAGATATTTATTGTATTTAGTATACATTTTTATATTTCAGATGGTCATCTCATTTTAATGTTGATTTACTGATCGTTCCAGCGCATGACGCGTGGTTAAAAAAAACGTATAATTTGATTTTTTAAAATAGGGTTTGTAAGTATTTTTTTTCTCTAATTTTCAATTAGAAATCTCGTTTACCAGGGAGAGATTTAGATTTTTAAACTAAATCGATAGTTGGCACCACAAGAACCTTAACAGAATTTCGACTACTTATTGATGCCGATGCCCTTTGCATTGAGCTTCAACTAATTGTTCGAAGGCTTCCAATGGAGCAGGATATCCCCGCGTCCAGTGGTCAATTGCCCCTCCTCTACATCTCCCCACTGACATTACCCTAGAAGTCCCGGCTTCCACAGCCCAAGTCACACTATTATATGCTTCGCTATATAGTAAACCAAAATTAGAAGATTGTTTACCAGATTGTGTTGTTTCATTGAGAATGCTATTAACACTTCCAGTGTCACAAAGTAGACGCATGGACTGAACAACAAACTATAATATAAGCGGCCAGGTAGTGTGTCATTCCGTCATCGCTATAGATTTTGGAGCCATAAAAGTAAACACCATCACATGTCATGATTTTACTTGCATCGAATTGTTTATTTGATTGATAAAGTACGGTTTATTTTTAAAACGACTTTTTTTAAAAAATAGCTGCCACAGTTTTTTCTCTTTTGCGTAACGTGAAGAAAATATTAAATACACGCATATTGCTAAAACATTAAACGTAAACGGTTCAATGTCAAATAATATTTTCCCATAGATTCCTAGAAAAAAAAATGAGGTAATTTAAAAAAGAAATTCAACATCTAAAATAAAAAAATGTGAATGCAAATTCGACGGAAGTCCGTGAGGGCATTATTGTTGGTATATTATATTAAGCATGGTTTGATAAAGTGCAATATAGTAGGTAAAACACGGATATTTTAAATACTGGCTTTTATTTATTTTATTCACAGAATGTACCGTTTAATAATAATTATTTGTAATCAGTAACAGTTTAGAAACCGCTCCTAAATGTCCTCTATGTTTACTTCTATCTTTCGGTTTGCGGATAAGCTGGGGTTTTTATAGTCGTTCATTAAATTGAATCAGGCGCGTCCGCCGGCGCCCGGGCAAGGTGCGATTTGCCGCCACGGGCTAGACTGTGAGCATTATGCGTTTATGCTTGCATCTAAATTGTGTTTATGTTATGAGTGTTGTGTTTGGGTTTTCGTTTTTTTTGTGTGTGTGTTTGCATTGTGTTTGAGTTTGTGTTTGAGTTTGTGTTTAGTTTTGTTGTTCCCAAGTTGCTACGGTTAAAAAATATTCACCGTTGCGGAACAACGGTATGCAGCTAGTAACTAAATAACTTCGGCGATCTTGCTACGTAGGAATATTTTCATAGCCCTTCTATCCATAGATGAGCTAACCCTTTGATCTAGTTTTGTCCACCTGGGCTGATGTGGTAGTATTGTCTCATGATTTACAAGCCCACCTACACTGTCTATCGGAACTTAGTTTAAATCTTCGAATAATAGAATCAGGCGCTGTGTAATTAAAATTAATTTCGTTATAAAATTCTGACTGTTTGGGCTTTTTTCGGACTTTAAAAATCAGTGGATATATTTGACGTTTTAGTACTTTCGGTAATTAAACACAAACACATTTAAAAATAAACCGGGAGTGATCTCCCCTAAACTTTCTCGAATATTCTTATATAACTTGGAATATAGACATGATTTTTAATTACTTAAACTTTTAAAAATAGAATAGAATCTCATAGAAAAAAGAACTGCGCACCAAGCGAACGCAAAAACCAAATGTGCATAATAGTGCGCAATATTATTAGTACTTTATAAATTTACCTGCGTTTTTGAGAAATCGGAAATAGCGTAAATTAGTACTTCGGGTCAACGAAAATTACTCAAAATTTGAAACACTCAGTGGGGATGCTTTTACCCACTGAGGTGTTGTGGTTAAGACGGGCTGACCCTGAGATTAAGAACACACTGACACCGACAGTTGTTGTCAAGTACTCCTTTATTCACAGCATCGAGCCAAGACGGCGATGCAACACAGTAGTAAGACGATTTCAAAGAGAAAATACTGAAGCAACAAGAAACCAAGAAAACAAAAACTGTAGCCCTAAAACAAATGTAAAGGAAAAGTTACATTCCTGACAACACCACGTGTAGGCTACAATATACACGGGTACAATAAAATATGTTTCGGCCAGTACACAGTACTGCCAATAAGTACCAATAAGTAGTACTACAAATAAATACTTATATTAATACTCACCCTAACTAGTGTGCACATGCAGCACTAGCAGGAATACACAAATAAGTATTTTAACAAACATAATTTATGTAACTACACTACCTTCATTAGGTCTACATCTTGGTCACCGTGTCCACAGACAGCAGGCTTGCGTGTGACTGACACGGCTAGGCATGAAACTACCCACAGTCCCATGTCACATGACATGGGACACAGGTAACATCGCTCACAAGAGTACGAAAAAAACAACTAAGTCAACAGGGCCACGACCCCACAGGGGCCGCAACGCAATGAATTAAAACTTCATATTTTTCCCTCCCCTGGCTGGTAACCATATGTGTTACAAAAGTAGAGAATTAGATCTTTTACTTACATGTGAAATTTCATTTATCTATCTGAAATAGTACTCAAGTTATAGGCTGTTGAAAAATTCAAAGAAGAAAAAGTACCACTTCCGGTTATCGGAAATCGCTCAAAAGTTGATCAGGATCTACGATCTAAAATACCAAAATCGGTTTTTATTACATATAAAGTCATGAGAAAGGTCTCAGTACACCGCAATTGTAAAAAAAAAAAATCATAAAAAACGTTTTAATAACAAGCTTTTATGTAATAATGCACTAAATAGTAGAAAATAAATTATACACTATTTAAATTACTATAAAGAAAAGCGTGGGTCACATTAGTATCTTTTGGATACCTTTACTAATATTTATTAAGAGACCCACTTTTTCTTTATCGTTATTTAAATAGTAGTGTATAATTTATTTTCTACTTTTTAGTGCATTATTACATAAAAGCTTGTTATTAAAACGTTTTATATGAATTATTTTTTCAATATTTTAAATTTTTAAAATGTACAATAGAGTTGCATGACTAAAGACCATGCGCACCTTATGAAAGTGATGACGCGTGTCTAATAGTGTGAAATAGTTTGATGAGACAGCCTACTAATTTGAACACAATTTTAATTAATTCATAAAAAATTAATCAGGCAACTAATTAAGTCAAATTTAATGTCATGTTGCATTGTCTTCATGTCTTGACCCACGTGCTAACGTTAAAACAGCTAGAAGTGTTCGAAATTTGGCCCCGGGCGTTTCTATCTAGACAGACTGACGACAGAGACAGGGAGTTATATAAAAGCTTGTAGAATAAACAGGGAGCAGTGGCGGAACTAGAAAAAAAAGGCCCCCCCCCCCCCGCAGAATTTTTTTTGGGCCCCTATATATATATATATATATATATATATATATATATATATATATATATATATATATATATATATATATATATATATATATATATATATATATATGGCCCCATTAATTAAGTTTTCGAAGTGAGAAACACCGACTCTCTAAATCTAGCCCAACACACTAAACTGACGATGATTTTTAAGAGGCTTTTATCAAAACGTTACCAACCGTGTATTTTTAGACGTGTGCACTGTTTACCAGAAGTTGAATTAAATATTAACAATATCGGCAGTTCATTTCTACCAACTAGACACGCCAAGGCATGCTGTAAGTCCTTCGGCGACGGCCCAGGTGTCAGGGGAGTAACGGGGCTTTTGGGAGCTACCGGTTACATTCAGAGTTTCTTCCAGGCATCTCTTCGGTGGGGCCAAGCCCCCCCGAAATTTTTTTACCGCCCCCCCCCCCCCCCCCGAACGAAATGAAATTTATATACTTTATATAGAAAATATATACTTTTAACAGTGTCCGCCCCCCCCTCCCCCCCCCCCGAAGAAAGTCTACCGCCCCCCCCCCCCCCGAAAATTTCAAGTGCCCCCCCCGGAGAAAAAAGTCTGGAAGAAACACTGGTTACATTACTGCACAGGGGATGGGCGCGACATTTTGTTTCTTCCGGCAGTCTGGAAGAAACATTGGTGCAACACTTGATTAGATTTAGTCATCGAGTGTAGTAGCGAGACTTATTCCTAGTGTTGTGGGAACTTTTAAACGACTGGATGTGGGGGCCAACCTGCTCATATGTGATGCGCTCAGGATGACACTGTCGCCGGGGATTTCAAGTAGTAACCTCATCCGCTTATGCAAGATCTAGGGGCGCTAAATCACATATTTCCGTTGGGCGTCCCCACTCCAATATGTAAACAAATGTTAGCCTATGACAGAAACCTTTGCGTGGCTGTCCTC